TTCAGCAAGCTGATCCTTGATCTTTACTTTATCTGTTAATAAAGCATCCTTTACCAACCTCCATAAGGAAAAGGTGGCAACTGGGACACTGTCCGAGCCCCGGTCCCTCAATAATTTCTGAAGGTCATGCCTCACCAGGTCCCAGTCACTATTATTAAGAAATCCTCCTGTCAGAAACCAAGGACAAGCCTGGGCAATAATTTCAACGAATTCGGTTGCAGTCTTAGTTTTTATTCCTGTTCCTTGTGTATTTAACAGCTCTTTCAGTTCGTTGGCCAGACGAACCTTCGCTGTTGAGTTACCCATGGTACGTACCCTGTCTCTTTAAAATATCTTTAAACCAATCCTCCCCCTTCTTTCTTAGAAGGTGAGCCCCGTCCGCTTACCCCTGCTTTCCGGATCTCGGTGAGAACCTCCAATTTCCGCGTCCGGCCAAGGGAGCCGAGTCCGGCGAGGGACGGCGAGGTTAAAAGACACACAGGACACCAAGGTTCTTCATCCAGGAGTCAATAATCTTTATTGCTAACACACCTTTTTTTATACCCCAAGCAGCAGAAGTGGAAAACTACCCAAAAGCAGGAGGGAGGGGGGAGAAATTTAGTTTCAACATCTATTATTGTCAGGTACCGAAACCTCCCTTAACAATAAGTCCATCAGACCAGAAAAGGTCAAGGCATTCCCGTGGGATACATATGTCTCAGACGGATAAGCAGGAACAGAAAAACCGCAAGTTCGCCATGGCCTTGTGAGCTGGCCACACTGGCATGCAGAACAAACTAGTGGAGGTAGGGCTCCAGGGGCCAGGGTGGACCTGTTGCCAACACTTTCTTTCTTGTTTTTTTTTTTTTTTTTTTTTTTTGGTACCAGGGATTGAACTCAGGAGCACTCGACCTCTGAGCCACATCCTCAGCCCTATTTTGTATTTTATTTAGAAATAAAATACAAAATAGTGTCTCACTGAATTGCTTAGTGCCTCACCATTGCTGAGGCTGGCTTTAAACTTTCGATCCTCCTGTCTTAGCCTCCTGAGGTACAAGGATTACCGGTGAGCACCACTGCACCTGGCTTATTTTCTATTTTCTAAGCATTGCTTATCTAATAAAAAGTTTTCTTTATAAGGCAATAAACTGTGAATTTGTGGAGTCATATTCTGAACATCTCCTTAATGTAATCATACAGAACAATAGATGATCTTTACAATAAACTTTGAGAGATTTGGGGCTTCCCACTGCCTCATTTAACTCAAGATTATTGTCCCATACACCACTTGTCATTGTACTTTCTTCTAAAATATGCTGACTGAGCCCAGTGCATCGGTGCACCCTGTAATTCCAGCAACTTGGCAGCTGAGGCAGGAGGATCACAAGTCCAAAGCCAGCCTCAGCTACTCAGGGAATCCCTAAACAACTAAGCAAGACCCTGTTTCAAAATAGAAAATAAAAAGGGCTGGGGAGATGACTCAGTGGTTATATACCCCTGGGTTCAATCCCTGGTACCCCTGCCACCCCCAAAATATTCTGATTGAACACTAAGTTTATTGCACATAGTATTTTTAAAATTTTTTAATTTTATTTTTTTAAAGAGAGAGAGAGAGAATTTTAATATTCATTTTTTTTTTTTTTTTTTTAGTTTTTGGCGGACACAACATCTTTGTTTGCATGTGGTGCTGAGGATCGAACCCAGGCCGCACGCGCTTGAGCCACATCCCCAGCCCTGCACATAGTATTTTTGGTTTTCATTTTTGGTACTGAGGTTTGAACCCAGAGGTGCTTTACCATTGAGCTACATCCCCAGCCCTTATTTATTTATTTATTTACTTTTGAGACAAAATATAAGTTGCTTAAGACCTTGATAAGTTCTGGAGTTGACCTAGAATTTGCCATTCTCCTGCCTCAGCCCTCTGAGCCATTGGGATTACAGGCATGAACCCCACACTGAACTATCACTATGTGTGTTCTGATATTGAAGAAATTAGTAGCACTTGATTTGGGAATTTTCACAGCTAAAAAATTTAAAAAGATTTGTTTTTGTTTTTGTTTTTAGGAAAGTACAGCAGAATATCCCAAAGCAGAGCTTTTGGGGGAAAACAATTTAAATAAGTTGAGAGAGGGTTTTTCCATGCACCTGTAGTGCTCCTATGCTGCAGAAAGTCTTTTAGGGATGCTCATTCAAGCAAGTAACCTGGAAGACAGAGACAGGGACTCCCCTAGGGCACAAGTTTGCGTTTTTGGATAAGATCAAAAGGGTGATTCCTTTCAAGAGATTTACAGTCACGGTTCCCCAGAGATATTTGCACACATTCCAGTGTAATAACATAATATGCCTCTACAGAAAGATGGACAGATTTGCCAGCAGCCCTTTATGAGACCAGAGCCTCCTAAACCCAGTCTCCATCTCCTGTGATACACCTTGAAAGCACCCTGAGATACTGTTTGCCCTCCAGTGTCACTCCACAGGGACTGGGGCTCAGGGTACAGAGCTGCTGTGGCCTTGTGCGCTCTCTGTTTCTGGTCCAGAGCTCTCATTGTTTTCTGCCAGTCTGTATAATTTGTTAGCCTTAAAGTAGCTTAAAATATCACACCCTTCAAAGTTTTTAACTTACTCAGAAAAAAAAAAATATCTGGATGTCATTTAAATAAACTGCAGTGTCTGTCCCTTCCTAGAGTCACAAGGTGGACTATCCTTGGATAAAGAGAGAACTGTAAAACACACCATGCCCCTGAAGTGCCCCCTCTCCATTTCCAAGAATCTGTCCACGTTTATGGAATGGTGAGTACAAGTCTGGGCCAGAATGTCCAGATAAATGTTATCTCAAAGACACCGGCTGTCTCTCATGTATGCTGGGAACTAGGGCGAATTAGTGCTGACGGTAGAAAGCTGTTTTCACGTGCACACCAAATTCTTTGGGGTGCTGGCCATACAATGGAATGATGTAAATGAAGCAAATGATGTCACCACTCTTTCAACCCGACCACTAACCTAACCCCTCTCTGTGGTGACTGGCATGGACCTCAGCACTGTGGAGAAGTGCTGGTCCAGTTGGCTGCCACTACACCAAGTGACCTAAGAGACGAAGGTGCTGCTTTCTGGGGATGCTCAGGAGGCACTATGAGAAATGGAGGTGCTACTTGTCACATCCATTGCCACCGGATCTTCCCTGTAAGCATTTTTCAATAAACCTTATGTCTCACATCCCATCTCTGGGTGTCTTCTTTGGCCTCTTGGCAACCCACCCCACTATCCTAACACCCTAATACTGTGAACAGTACACAGGGTGACTCTCTTGGTTTCCAAACAACAGGTTTCATGGAAGTAAAGGTGAAAATGCAGAGAGATAGACATAAGCTGTTATATTCCCATGAGGTGACATAAGAAGTAAAATGTATGGTCTCCAATAAAAAAAAAAAAAATCATGATCCCTGCCCATGTGGTGGTGTTTTCTGATGAACACAAATGAGAGTCCCTTCTGGGGAGGAAGAAACAGGCTTTTAAAACATCCAGAGAGACGATGTATGGGGGAATGCTAGTATCATGAGATGAATGACATCAAGCATGCACCGAGGCTTGGACACATCCACTTCAGTTGTGACACCTTTCCTGCATTCACTTTCTTCTTTCCCAGGGCTGGTCTTGAGGTTAGTTTCCTTGAGAGCAAGAATTTGCAGGCATAGTCACTGAGGTTTGAAGAAGAAGCAAAGATGGAGGTGCTCACCTCCCAAAGTGGCCCTTCCTATCAGGGTTTCTTGGAGAGTGTGGCCCACAGAAGCCTCTTGGAAAGGAGTTGTCCATATCCCGAGTGCTTGAAAGGCAAGGCCTCCCTAAGTCAACTTGAGAGAGAGAGTTTGAAGGAGGCACTTACATGAACTATGAAGGGTGAGATGATTTGTTAGAGAACAAGGAGCAGGCGACTTTCCTGAGTGAAAGCAAAAATGACCGAAATGGGGATCAGCAAGCTTTCTTTATTAAGCAGCCGGATGGCACATTCTCAGGGAGAAAATGGCAATTGGCTACAACTAGAGTCTGATGTTTATAGGGTTGAAGAGAGATTGGAATCATGACAAATGAGATTTGAATTATGGCAAAAATGCCTTGGTTGGGTAGTCAGGGGGAACGGTCATGCACGTTCAAAGCTCAAAGGAAACAGTTGCAAAAGTTCCAAACCCATTGCTGCTGAGAAACGGTGAAAGTCCAGAGCCCATTGTTAGCCTTCTCTCCCAGGGTCACACTGTCCTCCTCTCTCCCTGGGGGTTGTTATTCTTTTTTTCTAGAGGTGGGAGGTGTTGTTATTTTTCATATCCTTCACTGAGGATGGTGGCAGTATAAGAACCGAAGGATAAGCTGTGTAGAGAGAGAGAGGGAGAGGAACAGAGGAGGATTGGAAGAGGTGGTTGGAAGTCAGGTCTATGTGTGGCCAAGAGTTTTCATAACACAAATGGTAGATAAAGCTGCAGGTGCTTCACTTTGTAGACTATTTTTAACCTCCTCCTCCTTACATCATAAACTATAGTCCCCAAGGAAAGAGGGAATGTGTTTCCTTCTTGGTGCCCAGGAGATCTCTGGATTCACCATTGGGTGTCTTATGTCAGATGTATCTCTGCAGTGGACGGTAGGCTGTTGAGCTCTCTCCATTGATACTTTCCACTGAAGAGATAGATTCATATTTCCTGGTTCAACCATGAGCACCATTTAAGTTTTTCCTCCATCTTTTTGCAGTATTGAGGGATTGAACCCAAGGCCACATACATGCTACAGAAAAACTCTACTACCTAGTAATATCCCCAGCCTCACCAAGATAATATAAATTTGTTTAGGGCTTGTTTAAGGATTGTACTTCATGGAGTGGTGAATGGTGTGTCTCTTTAGTAGGCACTTCATGGAGTGTTCCTGGCTATTTGCTTTGTAGTGAGCTAACTTGAAACACCTTTTAGAGACAAGATCATCATTTCAGGATGAAATATCCACAGATCCCAAACCCGGAATGAACCACACGAGACACTGGCTGCAAAAAGCAGGAGGCGTTTATTCTCACACAGGCGCCTGCGGGTGCACAGCAAAACCTCAGCCGGAGCTTCGGTGAACTGGCACACCGGGCTTTGGGGTATAGATCTTTTATAGGGAACAGGTGGGTTAGGTCTTAGCTTAGCACAGCAACAGCCTTCCTATTGGTCCCTCTGAATTCAGCAGTTGAGTCACCTAGGGGGGTAAACTTGTTTTCCCACTTTAGTTCTCAGAAAAACCATAAAATTGCATCCTGTCCTTTTAGTTCCTGTTTTTACCCTGTTTGCTCAAGTTTGGCCCTTCCGGGGTTATCTATATGGAACATCTTGTGGTAACATTGTGCGAGACTTGAAGTGCTACGTGCAGCTGGTGGGGTTTTGACATGGGGGTTGGGTAAGGGAACATCTTGCAGCTTCAGGGCACAGGGGTTAGTTTTCCTAATGTTGGGCCTGGGGCCTTGGGGTCCTTCATTCCCCCCTTTTTTTATATCATGGATATAATCTTATATCCATTGACCCATCTGCTCGGATTCCAGCATTATTTTAGCTGACGGCTCAGCATACTGGTTGGGGGTTGGTATTTACTATTAATCTAATTTTGAATAGGACCCCAGGGTCATAGGCAGTTTTATGATATACTCTCAGGCCCCATTGTTTTCTTTTTATCCAAAAATCTTTTGATGCTTTGCCTGCCTGAGTAAAGGTAATGTTTAAGGGGTTGCAGGCAAATGCGGTACATGGCCCTGCCCCGTACCATTTCAGGCTCCTGCAAGAGTCAGCAGAAAGTGGGGGATCCTGTTTTTTTTTTTTTTTAATTATATTTCTTGTCCCCGATAATACTTGTCATGTCTGGCTCACAGATTGGTTGGGGTTAACTGATATGGGGAAGACACAGCACAAAGCAAGAAAAATCAACAGCGAGTGAGTCTTTAGCGGATTTTGGGTACGTTGCAACTTCCATTCTGGATCCGGAGAGGTGTCTGCAGACTCCTGTGGATGTGCAGTCTTCACGTGGGAAGCATGGATCTAAGCAGTGATGCCGTCCACTTTGAGTGCAGTAGGAGTGGTCAGCAGGATAGTGTAGGGTCCTTTCCACCGCGGTTCGAGGTTCCTGCTCTGGTGCCTGCGTACCCAGACGGTATCTCCGACCTTGAAGGGATGTGGCAGCAAGGGGGTTTTAAGTTCCTCTTTGTATGCTGCGGCTAGAGGCTTCCAGACCTCGTTCTGGACCAATTGCAAAGCATGCAAATGAGTCTGCATAGATGGGGTGAGGGAGGCATAGGTTTTAGTTTTATAAAAGTTAATAGTGGGAGGTGGGGCACCGTACAGGATTTTAAATGGGGTTAGTCCATGTGGGCCTGGGGTGTTTTGGGCCCCATACAAGGCTAAAGGTAGGAGTTGTACCCAGTCTCTAGTGCCAGTTTCAAGTGTCAATTTAGTTAAAGTCTCCTTAATGGTTCTATTTATCTTTTTTACCTGTCCTGAACTTTGGGGTCTATAACCATAATGTAATTTTTAATTAATCTCCAATGTATTGGCTACCACCTGACTTACTTGGGAGACGAAGGCAGGCCCATTAAATGTTTCCTTTTTGGTCCTCATTATCAGGATCAAAGGGAGTAAACCTCCGATAAGCCTCTTTTAATTTCTCTAAGAAGGCTGTCGGAGTTTCCTCTGACCCCTGGATAGTCTGTCTTACCTGAGCCAAATTGGTGGGCCGTCGCCCTGCTCCATGGAGACCCCCCTGCTCCATGGAGACCCGCTATGAGTAACTGGCGATAGAGATGTAGGTGGTTCTCACCTGCTTCAGTCGCATAGTCCCAGTTTGGCCGGGTTAAAGGAAAAGCTTCGTTAATCAAATTTGTGAGTTGGGTGGGGCGCCCGTCGTCCCCTGGCACATTTTTGCGAGCTTCCAAAAGAACCTTTTGTTTCTCCTCTGTGTCTAATAGAGAAATCTTTAATTCTGCTACTTAGGGCTGGATAACCATATTAGCAAACATCAAGTCTACCTGTGTTGTCTAGAAATAAAAGCCTTAGACTAAAACTATTTTAGTAGTTCCTTTGACAGTTATCAGGCATTTCTGTCTAAGAATCTCTCTTGTAGCCTCCAGTCTATTTATTTATGGAAGTTACATTTAATTATTATTATTATTTAAGATGTCCAGGAACAGCTGTGCTTTGGCTTTGACTGTCTTTGCTAAGTGTTTAAGATGAAGCAAGTCAAACTGACTTTTGTTTCTACCTATTGTTTACAGTCAGCTGAGTTATCCTGGGAGTCCTCGGGAACTTCATAGCAGCTTTTCAGTTCTGCTAGTGCCATTTGCGCTAGGATGGGTCCAGGCCTTGTTTGACCATATGGCTTCCCTCAGAAGCATCAGGGATGTCTCCCTTTTTTAATGACCCTTCTCTTTACAGCAAATGCACCATTTGGCTTTCTGTCCTCCACTGGTCTCATTAATCTCCCTGCTCAGGAGGTTATGTGGCCTAGAGTTGCTGAGCCCTTTGGAGAAGTCCCCTATTCCCTGATTCAGACTGACTCAGAGGGCAAGAGCCAAATATTGGTTTTCTTGGCCCTTTTAATTTAACTAATTTTAAAAAACTTGATCTTAAACATCCAGCAAATAAGTTAACAGCCTTATATTAAGAGCACTGGGCTTTAATGTCTATCTCTCTATCCTGTAGGTGATAACTCTTTATCTTATGTTGACCCAGGTTGTGTTCTTAAAGCAATACCTCTTTAGAATATTAATAGGCAATTTTTAAACCATCTATAAGCAAACTACAAAACAAAACTAACTAGGGTAAAAACATATTTAGCTTATATAATAGCTACCTTGAATTCTGGCAGGGTTATACATCATAATTTCTTGTTTGAGATCCTAGTAATCTTGGCAAAAACCTACTTTTGGACACAACTTTAACTGTACTGAAATCTGGCTTACTTTTTTTCATAGCCATTTTCACATGTAGTGAGATGGGACAGAGCCTTATCTCAAGTAAGGCAGGGCTCTTTATAAATCTCAAGTACTATAGTTCTGAAGCTGATCATTTTACAAAGTTTACATAAATTGTTGTTCAAGTTTATATGAACATTAGCTAACACAACATAATATCACACCTAAAATATGAATTAAAGGCTGAAAGCTTTTAACCTCTTGTAGAAAAGTAGTAATGTACTTTTGTGTTTTGCAATAAAACCTTCACACAGATTAGGCTCTTATTAACTTAAAAATACATAAATTGTATCTTAGAGTAGAAAGTAACATGGAACTGTACATATCTTATTGATAACAAGTTCAGTTATAGAACACAAATGATATAATTGAATTTTCAACATTTTTTTTTAAGCCTAAAATTACCATACAACTTTAGAACACCAGCTTGATATAATGTTCTTTTGAAGCTTTTACCTTACAGACTTGTATACCTGGAAGATATGAACACATTAATAACACCATAATTACATAAACCTCCTTTTGTTCACATTTTGAAACAATACTTGTAAACTTTTAAATTTAAGCAGAGTTAACATTTTATTAGGGCCTTTTTGAACACCTAGAGAAACTTATAAGCTTAATTTTGAGGACATCTTTACTTTTATCTGTTTACCCAATCTAAATTGAACCGTTTGAATCACGTGAATTAAAGATATTTGGATCTATTTTTAATTTTTTTTTTTTCAGGCTACCCAGTTCAAAATTGAAACTTTTAAAATTTTTTTATCCCAAGTATTTAAGTTTTCTAGCATGAACTATCTGAAATCAAACTAAACAATTGCTTAAACCCAACTTTTAACTGCAAGATAGTGCAATGCTTTAGAAACCCATTCAGATACCAGATTGTTACAATAAAAAATTATTATTATTTATTTTTTAGACACATATTTAACCTAGATTATCCCTAAGAAACAATTAGACAACCAGATAAGAAAATATCTCTCCAGGTTTTGAACTTTCATTTAATTATGACTCCCATCAGTGGCACCATAGATTTTCCTATGAGTGGACCAGATGTTTTCACGTAGGGGCAACTATAGGTGTAAAATCAAGGGTCTCAGTGTGACTGGCTTTACTGCATTCAGTGTCCCTTCTTTTTAAGTAAACAGAGGTTAAGTAAACAGATCCTTAAGATGTAGATAAGGACCCAGGGAACTCCCCAGAGCTAAATGGCTCTGGCAGCTGCTGGGAGTCCCTTAATCCTATCTTTTACCCACAGGATCAGTTCCTCTAGTTTAGGTATTTTTTTTTCTTTTTTCTAACTTGTTAGTAGCCAGCTCCCAAAAAGTCCATCCTCTGCTTGCAGTTGTTTCGAGTGCTAGGCTTCCCCAAGAAAGCAGAGTGGGAACTCCTTAAAAGTCCCCTTGAGAGTGTCAAAATTTGTGACTGAAAATTTGGTTCCCATCTCTAAAGTCAATTAACATTAATTTAATAATGAGGACAGGGCTTTGAGAAAAGTCAAAGCGAGATGTCAAAGTTGTTAAATCCCCAGCAGGCATCTCTATTTGCACTCAAGCCGGTTATGGGGGGGGAAGAAAACATTGCTTCCCTAGTCTCAGTATTCAGCCTTAGATAGAATTTATCACCCGCCTTGGGCTGCATTTCCAAGCAGCCCAACTCCAGGAAGACCCGTTTGCTTCCTGGGGTGGAGGGGCCGGGAGGAACAGGGACGGGACAGATCCGCCATACCGCCGGGTGGAATCCTCCCGGCGGACTGCGTGGATCCCACCCATGCAGGAGGGGATTCGCAGAGGTCCTGAAAGGTTAAAAGCCATGATCTGGATGGCCATGCGGCCCCGGCTGAAAGACAATCTCTGACTTTGCAAATTAGAGAGAGAGATGGAGGGACTCTCCTGGGGGCCATTTAACTTCGAGGGTGGGCCAATATTGGCCACTCCGTGGTACAGAGTGTTACCCATTTTTTTCTTTTTGACTGCCACGGACAGGTTGTCTGCCCAATCTTGAACGTCTTGCCAATGATCTAGAGTTAGGCTCAAAGGGGTTGTTAGTGATTGTCCCATGTTACTCTCAGAGACGAAATAGAGAGACAGACACAATGACACAAAAACGAAACCAAACAGTGAGATCGCTGCGCGGCTTCGGTGGAAACCGAACAAATCAGATGGCCTGGGAGAAGTTTGTACTTCTTTGTCGCCTACAAAAATGGTGTAACCCTCGGAAACACCGGGGGCCCCAAAGAAATGGACCCTTCTGATCCCTGGGACGTCTCCCAGGGTGGCAGGGGAGAAGTACGTGTTCGTCAACTCCTTCTCAAGCTGCCTCAGAATACTAAATGACAGAACTGCCTCAGAATACTCAGAATACTAAATGACTATGCCTAGGATCATATAGTCTTACAGACGCTGCGCGGAACAAAGAACAGATAACCAACAGGACAACAAGACAGTCAGTTTGAGCTGGCCAGCTTACCTCCCAGTGATGTCGGGTGTCCTCCGGATAGGGACCGGGATCGGAACCGGAACCGGGATCTTGGATCTCGGTGGAACCTCCACAATGAAATATCCACAGATCCCAAACCCGGAATGAACCACACGAGACACTGGCTGCAAAAAGCAGGAGGCGTTTATTCTCACACAGGCGCCTGCGGGTGCACAGCAAAACCTCAGCCGGAGCTTCGGTGAACTGGCACACCGGGCTTTGGGGTATAGATCTTTTATAGGGAACAGGTGGGTTAGGTCTTAGCTTAGCACAGCAACAGCCTTCCTATTGGTCCCTCTGAATTCAGCAGTTGAGTCACCTAGGGGGGTAAACTTGTTTTCCCACTTTAGTTCTCAGAAAAACCATAAAATTGCATCCTGTCCTTTTAGTTCCTGTTTTTACCCTGTTTGCTCAAGTTTGGCCCTTCCGGGGTTATCTATATGGAACATCTTGTGGTAACATTGTGCGAGACTTGAAGTGCTACGTGCAGCTGGTGGGGTTTTGACATGGGGGTTGGGTAAGGGAACATCTTGCAGCTTCAGGGCACAGGGGTTAGTTTTCCTAATGTTGGGCCTGGGGCCTTGGGGTCCTTCAAGGAAAAAGATTTTCATATCAGAACTACATTTCTTCTCTCAGAAACATTTTGTTTAAATAATTTTCAATTGGGAAAGGGTGAGGTCCTACTATTTCAAACTTATTAGAAGAAACTGAAATTCTTTATATCGTTTGGGTCATAAGGGTAATCTTTTTTTTTTTTCTTGCACTGGGGATTGAACTGAGGGCCTTGTGCATGCGAGGCAAGCACTCTACCAACTGAGCTATATCCCCAACCCTCATAAAGCATAATCTTTAACCAGTGATTCAGGGAATAAAAAGACATATGTTAATTAAGACTCCCAATTTTTAATATTTTGTAATAAATTAAAAAACAATTGGGGGCAATACTAGGGTTGAAACCAGAGTCTCGAATGTGCTAGGCAAACACTCCATCACTGAGCTACATCCCCAGCCTTTTTATTTTTTTTTTGGAGACAGGGTCTCACTAAATTGTCCAGGCTGGCCTCAAACTTGTGATCCTCCTACCTCAGCCTCCCTATACTAGCTGTGATTACAAACATGTAGCTAAGTTGTAATATTTTAATAACTTAATTTATCATTGATTTAGTTACACCAAGTATACTATGGTACTCTGTAAGTTAAAAAAAAAAAAACACTGTTAAATTTTTGAAACACTGTAGGCATTTTAATTAACGTTTATAAAGAGATAAGACCAACTTCTCAAGTTGTCCCAACCTTCTGCATACTGAGATAGTTGAAAATTTCTTTGCTTGGACATCTGGTTGATAAGAGGATGTTTGTTCCAAAACAATGACTCAGTAAAATACTTCAGTCTTCTGCAAGATTATCTCCATTGTTCTCATTAGTAGATTGGCATATTTATAGAAAAATATAAATTATTATATTTTATTCAATATTTTACAACCCTTTGCTGATTGCAAATGGGTTTTTTAATGTGTATGTTGCTAAAACACAATAGCCCAGTCAATGTGGAAAAAAATGTAATAGTTCCTCTGAGAGTTAAATGAAGAATTACTATATGACCCTATAATTACACTTTTAGGCATGCATACCCCCAAAGAATTTAAAACAGAGACTCAAGTATACACTTGCACACTAATGTTCATAGCAGAATTATTCACAAGAGCCAAAGGTATAAACAACCCAAATATCCATCAATAGATTGATGGATAAAGAAAATTGTGATCTATATAATTATTCCATTGTATAATGAAATATTATTCAGTCATTAAAAGGAATGAAGATAGTTTTCAGAGACTGGCTGAAATACTAATTGCTTTTGTGCTAATTGTTTACAAAAAAAAGTAATGCTTTGCTGTTTTGTTTATTGTTGTCTTAGCATGATCTCTGCCCTATTTATGCATGCCCTTAACAGTCCATGCCCCACCTGATAGGGAAAAAGGACTTTGGGTTACTTCTCCACAACTTTGCCTTCTTTCAGCAGGAAGCAGTTTGGAGATGTCGTCACCCATTTTTCCATTAAAATGGAATATAGATTAACATTTAACAGGGATGAGAGGTGGGAGGGAAAGGGAGAGAGAAGGGAAATTGCATGGTAATGGAAGGAGACCCTCAGGGTTATACAGTGGAGGGGGTAGAGAGAGAGGAGGGGAGGGGAGGGGAGAGGTGGGGAGGGGGGGAGGGTGGAGGATGGGAAAGGCAGCGGAGCACAACAGACACTAGTATGGCAATATGTAAATCAATGGATGTGTAACTGATGTGATTCTGCAATCTGTGTATGGGGTGAAGGTGGGAGTTCATAACCCACTTGAATCAAAGTGTGGAATATGATATGTCAAGAAATTTGTAATGTTTTGAACAACCCACAATAAAAAATTAAAAATAAAAAAAAATGGAATATAGAAATTGACAGTGGGGAAATGTAAGAGTAGTTCAATTTATGCTTTGAATACAGCCCTTGCTGCTCTGCCTCTGCAACTTATTTTTTAAATGGACATGTTTCTTTCTCTTCCTCTCTCCCTGTTTCTCCCTAATCTCTGACTCTCCCAAATCTCAGGGGAAACAGGATTAGCTTTCTTCTCCATCCTAGGCAGAGTTTTCTGTCCATGAGTACATACCTACCATAAGAGTGAAGTAATCCAGACTTCAGGGATGGTACCAGAAGATCTCAGAAATGACTATCTCCCAAATTAATAAGCGAATGACAACTGCAAAAGAGAACATGTGGAATGTAGCCTTTGAGTCACCTCTTGGAAAGCCCCCTGTTCCTGCTGATGGGCAGAATCACAGCCTTTGTGACAGGAGTCCCCTGGGTTTCTCCTTTGCTAGCAGAGCAATAAAACTTCCTTTTCCTTTTTCTAAAAAAAAGAAAAAGAAAACACAAAAAAAAGGAATGAAGAACTATTACATGCTACAATGTGGATGAACCTTGAAAACATCATGTTAGGTGAAAGAAGCCAGATACAAAGTCATTTATTGCATGATTCCATTTTTACGAAATATCCAGAATAGGTCAACTTACAGAAACAGAAAACAGATTACTGGTTTCCAGGGACTTGGGGGATAGGAGAAAAGTATAGTAACTGCTTAAGGATGTTTTTTCTGTTATTGTTTGTTTATTTGGTTTTGGTGGTACTGGGGATTAAACCCAGGGATGTTTTTGTTTTTTGTTTTTTGAGACAGGGTCTCACTTAAGTTGCCGAGGCTGGCCTTGAATTTGTGATTCTCCTGATTCAACCTTTGGAGTCACTGATTATAGGCTTGTGCTACTACACTTGATATTTTTATTTTTGGATGATGAAAATGTTTGGGAACTAGATAGAGATAGTGTTTACAAAATAGTGTGAATGTACTAAATGCCACAGAATTATTCACTTAAAAATGGCTTGTAGAGGGGCTGGGGAGATAGCTCAGTCAGTAGAGTGCTGGCCTCACATGCACAAGGCCCTGGGTTCAATCCCCAGCACCACCAGTTGCACTCCATTTGTGTGCGATGAATTGAAATGCATTCTCCTGTCATGTACAACTAAGGAGAACAAGTAATAAATAAATAATTTTTAAAAATGTTTTTTTTTTTTTTTGTGGGCTAGGGATATGACTCAGTGGTAGAGTGCTTGCCTAGTATGCATGAGACCCTGGGTTCAATCCCCAGTACCACACACACAGACACACACACACACATACACACAATGCTTTTTTGTATTTATTTGAATTTCACCTCGATTAAAAAAAAATGATGTGTGCCATATCCAGGAAAAGCATTTAATTGCCCAGTATGAAAAACTGGAGCTCTTTTCTCCCTAGCACAGCAACTGCCAATATTCAAGATGGCTAAGTCCTTTGTCAGCCTCAGTAACCACAGAAGTAAATTTCTAAAATGAACAAAACTTCCTGCAGAATGTTGGGTGACATTTAAGTTGGGTGACATTTAAGTCACTGTCATTTTGAGGTTGTTTACCCAATATAAGTGAGGTAGTGCTACTAAGAAGTGCAGCTGTCCCTCAGCATCTGAGCAAGGATTGTTTCCAGGACCCCCGTGGATATTGGAATCTTCAGGTGCCCAAGTCTCACCTAACTTGGTGTAGTATTTGCTTATAGCCTACACAGATCCTCCAATAGTACTTCAAATCATCTCTAGATGACTTATAATACTAATATAACGCCAGTGCTGTGTAAATAGCTTTATACTAGACTGTCCGGAAGATAATGACAAGAAGAAAAGTCTGTACTTGTTCAGTTTATTTTCCCCCAATAATTTTGATCCACAGCTAGTTGCGCCTGCAGATGCAGAACCCACAGATATAGAGGTGAGTGCACAGTTGCCAGGAGTTTGTACAACAAGGGGTTTGCTCTGAGAAGTTTCCCTGAAGAAGCTGCATTGGAGCTAAGCTCTGAAGTTCCAATGAAAAGTGTGGGAAGGACATTCCAAGAAGACAGAACATTATGTACCAACCCCTGGGATGGATGAGAATGTGGCACATTCATGAATGTGTTTCAAATTTTTGAAACAAAAAGAACAGTATGTGGTGAACACAATGAGGCGAAAAGGAGATAAGCTTTGCAAGCCTTGTGAAATATTACTGGGGGGGTGGGCACCGTTGGGGATGAGCCCAGGGCCTCCTGCATGCTAGATAAGTGCTCTTGAATTTTATCACCAGCCTCCTGCTTTTTTTTTGTACCAGGAATTGAACTCATGGGCACTCAACCACTGAGCCACATCCTGAGCCCTATTTTGTATTTTTTTTATTTAGAGACAGGTTATCACTGAGTTGCTTAGTGCCTGGCTGTTGCTGAGGCTGGTTTTGAATGCGTGATCCTCCTGCCTCAGCCTCGTGAGCCACGGGGATTACAAGCGTGTGCCACCTTGTACCCCCTGTCCCGCTCCCCGCAGTTTTTTTCTTTAATTTTATTTTGAGATATGGTCTAGCTAAATTGACCAGGTTGGCCTTGAACTTGAGATTCTCCTGTCTCAGCCTCCTGAGTAGCTGGGCCACCTTAACTGGCAAGATTTTTCAACAATAAATAGGAAGCTTAAATGGTGTCAATGAAAATCATGATGATAATACCTAAACTCCTTTAGCACTTATTATGTTTCAGTTATATTTTAAGCACTTTACAAGTGTTGTTATTTAATCCTTTGTAAAAACTCCATGAACTAGTTATTATTACCTCTTACTTTACAGATAAAGACATTGACATACAGTGAGGTTGTTGGTTTTTGCCCATTTTTTTTTTTTTTTTTTTACAAATTTGCAAGTAGTAAAGCCAAGATTTAAAACTAGGGAGTCTAATTTCAGGGTCACAACAAGACATTCTGTGACCCAATTGTTAGGTCATAGCTAGTAATGGGCAGTGCAATGCATGGCAGGTCACAAGTGTTCTTTAAATTATTTTCAAAGTCATGTAGAAAAATATCAGATGCCCAGACCTTGAGAACAAACAGAAGCAAAAGGAGCTAGTTGGGGAAATATGTCAAGAAAGAAGAATTAACAGGACTAACCCTAATCAATAGGGTCCACTGAGGTCAGGGTAAAGCTGAGAGTATGGCCATAGGTGCCTCTGTATATCTTGGAAGTGAGGTTTTCTTTAGTAGCACAGGTGCACTGAGGCAACTTCTGA